TAACTCTACTGAAGCGATGCGTAATCATATTCAATACAGGCACGTAGGCCTATAGGCCTTAGCTTAGAGACTAGCCAAAGCCAGCTAATGTCAACGTCATTCACTACAGCCTGCCGCCGCTGTGGTCCCGTCCACGCCGTCTATGTCAACTGTTTTAATGAATCTGTTTTATCTGTCATCTGTTTTAATTATGATCAGCAAAAGTACCAAAATCCCTTTTCTTGTGCAATATGTATTCACAAGATGAGCAAACCAACAGACCAATTCAGAGTAGACGTCACAGTTATGTCACTTTCAGCTGCGCGCGCATAGTGGTTGCAGAAAAACACTGGGAACAAGTAGAGGTAAATGGGTAAAATCCATGGAATAAAAGAAAAAAATATTTTTGTGCCTTTTGATATCAAGATCGGAATGCAAATAATTTTTTATAGAATACTGTAGTCAAAGACGCTATTTGAAGCTAAACGCAGACGTTTAAATTAAATTAAATGTAATTTAATTTATGCATTTAGCAGACGCTTAAAAGCGACTTTCAGTGCATTCAGGCTATACATTTTTTATCAGTATGTGTGTTCCCTGGGAATTGAACTCACGACCGATGTGCTGCTAACACAATGCTCTACCACTGAGCCACAGGAACATGTGGATAAATGGACATACTATGGATGAAAACTGCTCTAATTACTCTACTTTTAAAGCATAAATTCGATTTAAACGGTGTCGTGGGGATTCGTAAATGACAATGGGCGTCGGGACGCAAGATTCCATCGTTTCCGCACGTGTAGTGTGTGTCATAGTGGACGACAACAGATTCCGCGTCTGCGATGCTTCACAACATCACGACAGAAATACTAGCATGTTTAATATTTTTGCCATTGTCCACGACGAGTTCTGTCACATTGGTGACGTTGACCAATAGCAGCACAGAAGCTCTAGCTGTGTCTCATTTAGAAGGCTGCGCCCTCCGGAGGTCGAATCCTCTGGAGGTCGCATCCTCTGTAGGATGCATATACGAAGTGTCCTCAACCTAGAATTAAACGAGACAGCCTTCGTAGGACAGGCGGAAAAGGAAACCGGAAGTATCACGTTGCTATGCCAACACATTTAGAGCATCGTGACGCTCTCACACTACTTAAATGAAGGAAAATTATTTCTAAATTTGCAAGGATACACCTCATGCATCCTCCGAATTCCCGTGAAAGAAGGTCGCATTCGGAGTGTCTTACTTGCTTTTCTGAAATGAGACAGCCTCGATGACGTATGCAGCCTTCGAACGCGACCTCCGGAGGGTGCAGCCTTCTAAATGAGACACAGCTTGTAATTGGTCTATTCACAAGAGACTGCAACGTAAACTGTAACTGACTGTCGTTGGCGACGTTACTGACAATTGGCTGAGGTGCCTCACGTGATCCAAGTTAGCCGTTAGGCTTTTTCCAATGGTAAGTAATATGGACCCTTATCCCAAAATAATCTCTTGTGAATTCAGCGCCAACCGTCAGTTTTAATGTTGAAAGAAAGTGTCGTAAGACAGCATTTTACAATACAAATGTTAACTGACAGTAATAATAAGCGATGCAAACTACTACATTTTTTTTCTCAATCGGTCTTTGTCAGTCACGTGCGTTTATTATGTGTGACGTCACCGAGGCGCCATTTTGAAGGTATCGTTGCATTGAGCAGTGAACTAAAAGTGTGCAGAAAAGACCGATTAAATCATCATACTGGAGAAACAGATGCATCAACACGTTTTACAACTCAAGCACAGAGGCAAGGTTCTTTTATGTATTAGTCAAATAATTACTGTGTAAGTCCACAATGACATCTTTCTTTAGGACATGACAAACTTTGCCTGTTTGGACAGAAGACGTCAGTAAAACACTCTTTATAGATACTTTTTGTCGTGGCAAATTTAATTTTAATGGGGCAACACTGATGTAATAACATAAACACAGGGTCAGCGCTGTTTTAGATCGTTTAATACATGAATGTAGAAACAGATAACAAAGGTTTTGTTTACATTGTATTACTACTTTACCTGTGAGAGTAGTACAGTATTAGTATGTCAAGATCAGTAGGGGACACATTACAGAAAACATGCATATTAGTACACTTTTTCTTATTGCTGTGGAATACAACATTTTCTGTTGAGCTCAGAGCTAAAATGTAAAATACAGTGGAAAATTTCCAGTATTAGTTGCACAAACATGTCCTGTCTGACAAGCTGAACAACTGCAGACATGTAACAGCTGGTCGGTCAGGGTTGGATTAAAATGGGCGTCAAACATTCAGGATCTAATCTGTTTGAAAAAAAAGAAGTCTATATACTAACTGAAGACAGTTAACCGTTAAAATTCCCATTCATCTCAACGGAAGAAGCAGTCAAACAAGATGGTTTTTATTGCTTTCACGATTTATCTATGGTTATAATAATAATAATAAATGTTAAGAATTTGGCCTGGTCCCAAGATGGGCCGACCGAACCGTTCAGTCACCAGAGAGAGTGCAACACGAGCTAATTTTCAGTAAAAGCTAGATAATGGGCCGTAAAAAAAAAAGGAAAGGCGGTGCAGAAAAACTTTAAGCAAAAAAAAAAAAAAAGGGCTTACGTCCAACACTGCTAATGCAAATATAGTCTAACACGTCAAAAACCTATAGCAACAGAGATAGTGAACTTTACTTTGAATATGTAGATAGTCATATATTAAAATAAAACATTGAATACATGCATACAGTGCATACGTTTACAATATGCAATTAATCCTTAGGTAGAGTGGAACATAGGCTTCTATTGCAGGTACTCATATGCAATAGTTAGACGAGGTATTATAAGCCATTGGCTTACTTATGTATCCCCTTGTCTGAATAGAATAGAATAGAATAGAATAGAAAATTCATCTATTCAAAACTAGAATGTTGCAGACAGCTCAGCTGAGTCAAGTGTCATGGAGGTAGGAAGACACAATGAGAGAGACACCCTGATATAGATGCTGCCAGTTTCTTAATAATGTTTCTTAATAATGTGTCTCTAATTAACTATTAATTAACTCTTAGGATATGAGGAACCTGTGCATGTATGT